CCTGTTCCAGAGCCGCCCGCCTTCTCCGCGCACACGCCGCGGCCACCGCCGCCGGAGCCGGGGCCAGAGCCCATCCCATGATGCACCGCGCCAGCCCCGTCCCCAGTGGGCCGCCATGTTGTCGGAGTGAAAGGTAAGGGGGAGCGAGAGCGCCGGAGAGAGGAGAACGGGGGGCTGAAATCCATCTTCATCCTACCGCTCCGCCCGTGAGTATCCGCACCCCGCCTGCCCTGAACGCTGCCCCGGGCCCCCCGCGAGCCGATGGTCCCGTTGTATTGGCGTTTGGGAGCGATTGGGGGGGCCAGGAGGGCTTTGGAAGAAAGCCGCCGGGGCCCTGGCTCGGGCTCCTCGCTCGATGTTCCTCGTACATGTTTTGGAGTCGGCAGCAAGGCCCCTATTGTTATCCAAGGAGGGAGGGGGCGGGGAGCGGGGTCGGAGCGAGGAAAACGCCGGGGGTTTGGGCCTCGGCCCGGGGCACGGGCGCCCCTCCACATTTCTGATCCTCCCTTTGCAACCCTCGAAGATTGATGTTGCCATTGGGGTTGCTTTTTATTTTTTATTTTTTTGTGATGGGTTTGCGAAGGAGCCCCGAGTCTGGCGGTGTGTGTGGCCGGGAAGTGTGGTTTCGTGCCGCTCTGGGTTTCTTCGACTCCTCGGGCTCCGCGGGCGGCGGCGCCGGAGCAGGAGGAACAATAAATACATCGCTCCGGCCAGCGGCCATGGCTCCTTGTCTCCGGGCGAGACCCGCCGTGGGGGGAACTTGGGCGCCTGGACGTGGAGAAGTAGCGATCAGGAAGTTTCAGATCGGGTTTTTTTTTTTTTTTTTCTCAGGCTGCTGGGTGCTGCCGGCGGCCTTTTGTTTCCGTGAGAGCCGCGGCTTTTGGGGTGTGCTCTTCCTCTTTGATCCTCCCGGTGCCCGGGCGCGTGTGTCTGGACTCGGAGCCGGGCTCACCCCTCCGTAGTAGGAAGGCAGGCAGGTACACGGTGCGAGATCGGAGTTGTAGTCCTCATCACACACGTTCTTGGTAAACAGAGATCGTGTATCCCACTGGTCGGTACCACTCCCACGTCCAGGGATGGAGCCACTTTTGTAACTTTTTTTCCCTCCTCCGTGGCTTTCCTCCCTCCCTCCCCAGCACGCTCGCACACAACACTCTCCGGGAGGGTGGTCCCCTCCCCTAACTTGGGGAAGGGTTGTTGCTTTTCATTGTTCAAGAAGACACTTGTTTTCCGTGGTCGATACAATTCGTACACTTCCTACTCCTTTTTAAGAGAGATAGTTGATGAGGTTTCTTTGGGGTTCTGTTCTGAAGTCCTTTATGTTTGAAGCAGTAGTTTGTCCATGTAGCTTTTTCTTTTTCTTTTTTTCTTTTCTTTTTATTTTGTGGGAAACAAAACAAACCCCATAAAAACGCACCGAGACAAGCCTTCCGCCAGGACATGTAGTTCTCGATGCCGTTTTAGTAAGCAGAACACAAAACATTCGATCCATTGCGAATTTTTTCTTCATAAAATACTCTTGTTTGTCTGGATCTTTGGGACATAACTCACGGGATTCTGAACTTTGAGTTAGTATTTCGCCTTCGTTGAATTCATGTCTGAGGCCACAGTTTTTTTTTTTTTTTTTTAGTTGGGTTTGAAGTTTAATTTGGGTTTGAGATGAACTGTTTTAAAATAAATGGATGACCATAAACTCTCCCCTCTGTCCCCCCAGGGTGGTAAAAAACATACACACCACCTTTCAGAATACTAAGCATTTTTGTAGGAAAAAAAAGATGGGCCATTGGAGATAGATTAAATCGTGTTTCTTTGTTTGAAATCTGTGTTATTAAAAAACAACAACAACAACAAAAAACCAACCCGTGATGTAAACAGTTTGAAAACTGGTGGAGTAATTAGAATCAGCCCTTATTTCTAGTTGCTTAAATTACTAATTTTTATCATGTGCCATTTGTAAAAAAGGCACATTTGAAATGCTACACATAACTTTTTAGTGGACTTTGAGAGTTCTCTAAAAGGCATCAGCAGACTAATATTTACGTGACCGATTTAAAAATTTTTGTGCTGTAGTTGCCAAGATATTACAAAATTACTCGAGACATGTTAATTTGCTCACTTTCAAACTGTCCCTTCTGCCAGGTGTTCTCTGGTTTGAGAAAACTGTCTTGCCTCATTAGGTAAAGCAGGAAGTCTGGGGGCAGATAGCTTTACAAAAGCCGATTGTTTTGTTTGAACATTTTTATGGGAATCTTCTCCCCGCTCCCATTCTTTGTGGGAATGAAGTTGTGTTTGATATGTTTCAGAGGTAAAACCCCAGTTTCATATGGAAATTATGGCAAATCCTTTATTTCAGAAAAGATTGCTTTGGCTGTTTGAGGAATCTTCTCAGGGACTGAAGTGCCATAATGGCATTCACCGAGGGTAACTGGATTCCTGGGGTCTCAGCATCGTGACTATGTTTACCAAAAACTTTTACATCTATTTTATTTTGATTCAAAATCAAACTTGTGAAGAATAAAGGATTTTTTAGAAATCATTTTCTACACGAGTAAACAGCCTCAAAGTAGCTGTTTAATGGTAAAACTTGGGGTTTGAGATTCTTGGCTTGCCTTCTAAAACAAAGACTGTTAGGTTGATACTACCTTGTAGAAAAAAATGGATCTGGCTACTACCGCTGGTAATAAGAGGGCACTAAGTTCTTTTGAAAATGAAACCGGAAGGCATTTGGCTGGTTAGCACTTGCAAAGATGGATGTAAACACAGCAATGACTCTGATTTTGGTACTTCACCACGGACACAGTTCAATACATGAAAGCAGAAACTGAACTCTAGAAAGCTAAACTAACTCAGTACGCTAGTAAGGTTCTGATGCGCAGGAATTGTTAACTGAGACGAGGCATTTCCAAATTAGGCTTTGAACAAATGACAGATTCCGCTGTGCCTTTTTTACGTCTGGCTTCAAAACATGAATTAGTTGTGAGAAGCAAATGCTTCTTTAGAGAGGGTTTAATTATCTGTGAAGAAAGAAGAGATTTCTCATAACTCTTATGGGCCAGTTTTTGAAATGTTGCAGTTGGGTTAGGGAGAGATAAGGCATCTGTAGATGTGTCCTAATTGGTCACAGGTTAATTACTTCGTAGCATTTTTTAGCACCTGCAGGGTGACAAGTGTTACAGCTTATGTAGAAATGTAGTACAAATGTAGTTTTTTATTTTGAAGAAACTTAAGTAGTAATGTTTCACAATAATAAATTGGGGGTTCTTTGTTGAGCCTTCCAGAGAAGAAAGAGTAGCAGATGTGGGTGAGAGAAATAGTATCTGTGTTGATGTACTGGGGTGTAGCAAGGGGTTGATAGAAAGAACTAGGTTTGGGTGCAAAATAGACTTACCTTTGAATCCCTTATCCACACTCACTAGCTGAATGGCTTTGGGCAGATCGTATAACTTTTCTGTCCCTTAATGTTTTCTTCTGTAAAATAGGGAAGATTAAGTAAAGTCTGAAGTATGTTTGCCATACAATTATTATGTTGAGGCATCTGATTTATTATCTATCTATCTATCTACCTACCTACCTATCTATCTTATCCATCTTTAGAGAAAGAGGGGAAAGGAGAAGGGAGATACATCAAAGTGAGAGGAAAAACTCATTCAGCCTTCAGTACACACCCTGACCAGTGATCAGATCCTCAACTGGGTATATGCCCTGACTGGGTATTGAACCTGAGACCCTTCTGTGTATGGGAGGATGCTCCAACTAATTAGTTATACCTGTTGTGGCATGTTTCTTTTTTGTTTCTTTTTTGGTGGTGGTGGTTTTTACAGTGAGGCTTTCCACTCCAGCATTCGGTTTGGTCTCATCCTGTTTTTAGGAGTCCAAGTACTAATGGAATAATGTGATGGCGATTGTAATTGTAAATTACTGGTGAAAACGTTGACTCTCCCTTCTAACCCCTCCATCAAAAGCTGAGGACAAGTTTCAGGCTAAGAACATTCTGTTCCTCTTCTGGGACAGGGGGCCTTATTGTTCAAGGACATCTTATAAATTCGTTGGACATTTTAAAGAGTGGTTCTCCACCTTTTTAATGCCGCAACCCTTTAATACAGTTCCTCATGTTGAGGTGACCCCCAATCATAAAGTTATTTTCATTGCTACTTCATAACTGTAATTTTGCTACTGTTACCCACAGGTTGAGAACTGCTGCTGTAGAGCCTAAAGCCATTGGAAACACAGATATTTACATTACGCTTTATAACAATAGCAAAATTACAGTTATGAAGTAGCAAGTAAAATAATTTTATGGTTGGGGGTCACCACAACATGAGGAACTGTTATTAAAGGGTCGCAGCATTAAAAAAGTTGAGAACCACTGTTTTAAAAGGTCCTGTCAAGTTTTAGACAATCTGAGTCTTTGCTAATTATATATGGGGTTTGATTTTTGTTTGGTTTATTTCCTTATATCTGCTTCAGCATTAAAACACCTAAAGTGATATTTAATACAGCTCTTACTTATTTAAAAAGTATCGCCACAGTTGGCTTAAGGTGTAAATAAGTTGGTTGAAGTTTAATTCTGTATTGTTACATTTGGTAACAGAATGTTTCCCTGAAGTTGCCATATTGAGTCCTGATCATACCTTGCTTGAGGACCTGCCACCAACCACATTTATTCTCTCTCTCTCACACACACACACACACACACACACTCTTCAACTTAAAAGTGGAAGTTTCAGTTTAGAAAAAAATTGTGTTATTTATTTTAAAATATATAGCTGCTTGGTATGAACTAGTTGTAGATAATATATCGCAAAAGACATGGGCTCACTTTTATCTTGGTGAATATCAAGTAATGTTTTAAAAGTGCAATTTTTAGGGGTCAGGAATAGGTGGAGGGAGTCAATGGGAGAAAAAAGGGGGTATCTATAATATGTTCAACAATAAAGATAAATTTAAAAAAGTCCAAATTTTAACAATTTGTAACTTATTTGTCCTTAGGTGTTGGTGGAATGAGCGTTGCATGTGTCTTGAAGAGAAAAGCAGTGCTTTGGCAGGACTCTTTCAGCCCCCACCTGAAACATCACCCTCAAGAACCAGCTAATCCCAACATGCCTGTTGTTTTGACATCTGGAACAGGGTCGCAAGCGCAGCCACAACCAGCTGCAAACCAAGCTCTTGCAGCTGGGACACACTCCAGCCCTGTCCCAGGATCCATAGGAGTTGCAGGCCGCTCCCAGGACGACGCAATGGTGGACTACTTCTTTCAGAGGCAGCATGGTGAGCAGCTTGGGGGAGGAGGAAGTGGTGGAGGCGGCTATAATAATAGCAAACATCGATGGCCTACTGGGGATAACATTCATGCAGAACATCAGGTAAAAAAAGTTCACTATTTCAGCTTTGAAACTCTTTTGTAATCAATCTGCTTTTAGTGACTGTCTTCAAAAGCCTAAATTGTTAATTTCATGTGATCTAAATTAGTTACTTGTTTTAAAGGATGATTGTTTTAATGTCACTGGGTCATATCAATCTGGTGCTAAATAATAAATGACCAATTCATTAAAAAATACTTAAGATTGTTACAATGTGCACATTGTATTTGTAGATATGCTTAATAAGAAAACTTTTTATCCTCTTGATATAGTCTTTTAAGAACTCTTTGGGCTGTTTATAGACCATATACATATTTTAGAGCCTTTCCTGTTGAGTGAGGGTGACTTTTGTTTTTTACGATGTTATAGTTGAAAGTAGTAGGAAGTTGATAACAAATCAGCTGCTCAAGTGAAATTTAACGTGAACTTGATGTATATCTATTGTTTTGTGTCAGAGGAGTGGTTGTGGATTTTAGATTTTAACCACCTTCATTCTCTTGTTCTAAGACTTGTTTCACTTGGTTAATTTTAAGATGCTTACCTTTACTAATCCAGAAATATACCTGGGATCACAGCATATTTTACTGAGAAGAGTATCCTGATCTGTATTTCCTAACTTCCTTATAGTGACAAAAGGAGTAGGATGTTTTTTAATCAGGCTATTCTTTGAAATGGTACACAGGTTGAATTTACAAAGGTTCATTTTATATTGCTACTATGTGAGTACTGACTGGCAAAAAGAACTGACATCTGTTACTAAGTCTCTAGTGCTTCTGTTCTGCTCCAGAAACAAATTAGGCACAAACATATTTGCAAATCTGAATCTCAGTTGTGCTTCCCCAGTCCCTTCATAAAAGTAGCCTATGTACCATAGTAGAAATCAAGAGGGGGAATTTATCCTCTTATCCCACAGGAACATATAGAGCACATTGATCAGTGGTCTTTGGTTTATTCAATCAATCTTCAATATCAATGCTGCTTCATAAACACCTACTGTGTGTAGGTGAGGGATATGTACTTAGTATGAGTATACGGGGTTTCTTGTAAAACTTTTGAGGCACTATGTTTGTTTTCTGTTTTCTTGCAGTAGTTGAGGGGGGTCATATTTTATTCATGTCAGTATCCCAGTTCCTAGAATTTGGCCTATAATAGAGTTTCAGAAATTTATTGAATGTTTGAGTACCTAATCCTTTGGCCTTAAAATAAAGTTGGGGAAAAAGACATTGTCATAAAGATGTAGGCCTTGAGTGCCAGGCTAAAATTTAATTAAGTAGGCAGCAGGGTTTTTTTTTTTTTTTTTTTTTAATGTATTTTTATTGATTTCAGAAGAAAGGATAGGGAGATTGAGAGAAAAACATCATTGATGACAGAGAATCATTGATCAGCTGCCTCTTGCATGCCCCCCACTTGGGATGGAGCCTGCAACCCGAGGATGTGCCCTGACTGGGAATCAAACCATTCATAGGTCAACTCTTAACCATTGAGCCACACCGGACGGGCTGGCGTGGCTTTTAGTAGTGTTTTAGAAAGATTGAGTTGGCAATAAAAGGTTGGAGTGGGTAAGGGGTGATACTAGTTGGATAATAACTTTAACAGTTCCGGTATGAGCAATGGAAAAAGAAGGTATGGATAACACAGAGAAAAATACACTGAATTTAGTGATTGAGTTAGAAATCTTAGGTCTTGGGAAAGATGAAGTAATACAGGAAAAGGAATTCAAAAGGATATGGTTTGGGGACTAGGTAATTGAATTTAGTAGTATACATGTTGAGTAAGATTTAGGCAGCTGTAGATAGAGATAGAGAGAGAGAGAGAGAGAGAGAAACCAAGGTAGGGAGGTGTTGAATTGAACTCATCATAACAATTCTGTTGGGTTGGACACAATATATAATCAACAGCATTTAGGGAATTGAGGATAGTTGCTATGTGGCAGATGTTGGTCACTCACAAATTACTTCTGCAGTCATTCCAGTGTATTATAATCTATTGGTTTTGTTGTTGATCTCATGTCTTGGACTGAACTGCGCTGGGGCAGAGGCTATTGTATTTGTCATGTCCCTTTCCCAGGTGTTGCCTGAAATTTTTGTGTTGATTGAATGCGGGAGAAACCACTAAGTTCTTCAGATTTGCACCAGGTAAAGTAGTGGAACTTAGAGCTCAGATATCCTGTTGGGAAATATGTGGCAATAGGTAAAGCCACTTAGACAAGTAGCAGCGGTGAAAGTAATGTAGTTAAAGAGTTGAGGGGGATATCTCTACTGCCCTCAGTAGCCACTGTTAAGATTGGAATAAGGTGTCTGACACGTGGGAGTACAAAAGAGATTGAGAAGCACTGATGATGATAAATAGATTTACTAAGCATTTATGTTCTAGGTATTGGTTATATATTTCCTGTATTTAATCCTCAGAAAAGTCCCATGAGGGAAGTAATATCCTTTTCTGAGAGATGAGAAAATGAAGTGTAGTTACCAGGTAGAACCTGGTTTTTAAATTAGTTCTCTGACTCCAGTGCCCATGCTCTCTGTATATTTCTGCCTCCTTAAACATATTTCTAGCCTTAAAAATTAAATCAAACCAAACTATTGCAACAAAGTAACGCATCCTAAATAATTATTTTGCTTTAATTTTAGAAATAATAAACTTGATAATAAGGAGATGGATACAGACGTTGGCTTTTCTCCTATAATTGCAAGAGCTCTCCCCTATAATGCCCCCACAGGGGCATTAATGCTAAAATTTTTCCCTTTTTGTTTTTATTACATGTGTATCCTTTTTATAAAATTTATCTTTATTGTTGAAAGTATACAACCCTTTGTTTTCTTCCCATTAACCCCTCCTCCCCCTTTCCATCCTACATGTTTATTCTAAGTAGTAACTGTGGGAAACTTTTCTCTATTGAGACAGAATGACTCAGTATAAAGTGATACTAGTGCCAGCACATTCTGCAATACCAAGAGTTTATTTGAGCCAAATTAATGATGTGCTGAGAGCTTTGGCGTGCACCCCTCCCCCCCTTTCATTTTATAAGTATGTTTGTTAGAGCTGGAGACAGTGAAACAGGAAGGCTTAGGATAGAGGAAGCAACAGGAGAGAGCCTAAGTGGGGCTGCTTTGGCTCACTGAGAAGACAGAGAAAGGGGCGTTGGAGACAGGTTCAGGCGGTTAGCCTGGGCCAACATTGCTCTCCTGGTTGCGAGTCTGAGGGATCTTTTAGAGTTTAGCAGATGCAGACCTATGGGGGAAGGACTAGGGGAAAGGAAAGGCCCTCAGGAGAGCATACCTTCTGTGCCTTTTTATAAAGGGCTTTTGGCATAATGGAACAAAATTTTAAGATCAGATTGTCAGAAGGCTTTTACCAATGATCTGGCGAAGACAAGAATATCACAGGTTGTGACGCCAACAGCAGTGATGGCGGGAAGGGAACTATTTATAGTGTCAGGTACTTTACATTCATTTCTCTCATTATTACTCACATTTGTGAGCAATTACTTTTTTATACTAGTACTAAAACATTTTTTAAAATTATATTTTATTGATTTTTTACAGAGAGGAAGGGAGAGAGATAGAGAGTTAGAAACATCGATCAGCTGCCTCCTGCACACCCGGTTCTGGGGATGTGCCCGCAACCAAGGTACATGCCCTTGACGGGAATCGAACCCAGGACCCTTCAGTCAACAAGCCTACGCTCTATCCACTGAGCCAAACCGGTTTCAGCTTAAAACATTTTTTAAAACCTGATGTGGAAATTCTCTTAATGTTTGCGTTTTCTCCCATTTTAATAGTGAACTCTTTAAGATATGCCCAAATATATATGTGACTGACTTTTTAAATTAAGTTTTCCCCCCCATGTCCCTCCCCTTTCAATATTTAATTTTTTAAGTATGAAAATTGACAGATAATTTGCATGAAGACTTAAATGAATGTAAAACATCAACAGCTTGAGAACTTGTATTGAAGTAATATGTGGTACTTTAAAGTTGTAGCATTTGCAGACTATGGTATTTCTGTATTTTTTCCTACATTATGATTAAGAATAATAAATATCACTTGAAGTACATAAAATTATTGTAACTAGTATTCTCAGAAACTTAAAAGCCTCCATTTTGGGACCAAATTGAGGTTTTTGGAGAGGAGGGAAAGAAGTCCCATTGAATAAGATTTATTTATTTTTTTCTATTAGCTTACCCATTGCAAACAAGACAGTGGATATGGATCAAGATATAGAACACTAGAAAACACACCTTCTTAAGTGAATAACATTTTAAATGTTATGTACAAAAAAAAAATGTACATATTTAACAGTAATTCTTAAAACTGATTTTTTTTTTTTCCTGAATAGTATTAAAAGTTTCAATGTGCAAAGCCCAAGGTCAGTCTTTGACTTGTTGTGATAGTTTTATTCTCTTATTGCAAAATCTGTTTTCTCTGTAAAGTTCTGTGAGATAAAGTGGGTGATGAAATAGGGAAAACATTTTAAGGTCCTCTGGTTAGTTGAACTATGGTCTCTACTGGATTTTAAGGGGCAGAGATAGGGGGAAAAGAAAATTTAGAGGACAGCACCACAGCTTTCTCACTTTTGCGTGTAGTCTTGTATCACTATCTACTGTGAACTGACAGTTTGTCAGATAATTCTATATTTCCAGGCAAAATTTTGTGGGTGAATCTTTTTGGCTCTATTTGTACCCCCTTTTCTTCCACTTGGTGTTGCCATCTTCTAGTGGTATTCGGACACCACCTTTGACATGTCTCTCCTTACCCTTCAGTGACTGTGTGATAATCCTTACACTTGTAATCAGTAAGAACTGTGTTAGACTGGAAGTATTCTCCACACTGGAAGTTTTGTCATTCTCCTGGAGATCCTTTTCTCTTTTTTCCTGCTGAATGACTTGAGATACTTGAGTCTCTTATCTTTCTGGGAAGATTGTTAAAGGGCCCCAGCATTTGGTACAGTGACATTTAGTTAACATCCTGTGATAAAACTGAATAAATCATGCTTCCATGTTC